TTACACACCCAAATAGACACCGAAAGGAACAAGGAGGATATTTGAAATTTTTTAAATTTACACGACAGTTCAATGACAAATCGTGGAGTGGTGAATGCGGAGGAACTGCGGGAGGCGGTGTGTGCCATCGTGTCGCGCTACCAGAAGACTCCACAGCGCCGGTTGCTTGTCTGCGTCGCCGGCCGTCCGGGCAGCGGCAAGACGACCGTTGCGAATATCCTCGCGGAGGAGGCGCGGGAGCTGCTGCGCAAAGTCTCCAGCGATCCCCGCGATCATGCGGAGAATGCGGTTGTTGTGATGCCAATGGATGGCTACCACCTCTACCGCAAAACTCTGCATGCGATGCCAAACCGCGAGGAGGCGATCGCGCGACGTGGGGCGGAGTGGACGTTTGACGCACGCAAGTTGTGCCGCGACCTACAGGCCATTCGTTTGCCTTCTGAGACTGCCGACAAGAAGGGAGCACCGCTTTACGATGATGTCTTTGTGCCGTCCTTTGACCACAGCGTGGGTGATCCGAAGGAGCGTGACATTTGCGTCTCCGGCTCTGCGGCCATTGTGATTGTGGAGGGGAATTATCTCCTCTACCGCGGCACACCGACGTGGGCGGAGGTGAACCGCTGCTTCGACATGGGCGTGTTTCAGGCCTGCCCGGCAGCGACGTGTGCACGGCGGTTGTGCCGGCGACACATGGCGGCGTGGGGCATCAGCGAGGCGGAGGCGATGGTGCGGGCCACAGGGAGCGACGCAATGAACGGTGATCTCGTTGAAACGACGGGAAAGAACGCGGATATTGTGCTTCACTCCATTGAGAGCTCCATGTAAACATGCGTGCCCTTCTCGGTTCCCTCCTTCTCCATTTATGGGTCCCTCTTTTCTGGCCGCGCACGTGGATGCGTAGCGGCTCACGTTAAGATATAAAAAAAAAAAAAAAAAGAGGAAAAAAAGGCAGGAAGAAAAAAGAAGGATTGGGGTTCCTCATTTTTATTTTTATTTTCACGTCGCTCACCAGCGGGATGACGGTAGCAGAAATAATAATAATAATAAAATAAAAAAACAAAAGAAAAAACGGAGTGAGACATAAAATAAAAACGAAATTAAAAAAGAAAAAATAATAAAAATAAGAGAAGCAAAGAAAAGGAAAAACGCATTAAAAAAAAAAAAATAAAATAAAAAGGAGGGGTCTTCATAAATGCACCGATATAAATATTATTTATTTATTTTTGGAATCTCTTCAGTTACGGTAGGAGAAAATGGCTGTACGTCGTGTTTTTTTTTTTTTTTTTTTTTTTTTTTTTTTTTGGCATGCCCCGGACGGCACCTTTTGGTAATAACCCCCTCCCGTCTAGAAATTACTTTTTTTTTTTTTTTTCTTTACTTACATGCGTGTGTTTGTGTAAATGTTGTGCGGAAATGTTAACGATGCATTCCCCATTCATTGTGTGTTGTCCCCGCCACTGAAAGGAAGAAATGATGCCCTCCGACTGCGTATCTATCTATACATATATATGTGTGTGTGTATATATCTCTCTGTATGAGTGGTGGGAAGAGGAATATTTTATTTTATTTTATTTTATTTTTTTCTTTTATCTTGTTTACTGCACCGCATAAAGTGTACATACATATATATATAGATATTATTATTATTATTATTATTATTATTATTATTTGCGTGCCATTCGTGGTTACCGCGAGGCGGACTAAAGAAGTAGTGAAATAAATAGGGGAGCTGGGGAAGAACCCAAGCAAAGGGGACACACATATACAAATAAAAACATTAGAACGTAAAAGGCTGTCACTGAAGGCAGTAGACTTTGAGTGACAACAGAATAAACGAGAACATAAGGAATTGAAAGAGAGCACTCCCAATTTTTGTATAAATTCCTGCACATATTTGCACGATATATATATTTTCCCCGCCCCCTAATCAAAGCGAACCCTAATGTCCCGTCGATCCCAGTGGGAGAGCATGCGCCAAGAGGCGCGGAATAGAGTACAAAACATGGATGCCACGCCCATCTTGGAGAATACTCCCGGTTCTAGTAACTTGCCTAATACACCGGGTGGATCCGGTGAGCGAACTCGTGTGAAATCCCGCCATTCAGGACACCTGGAAGGGAGGGGTGCAAGCCTGCATCAGCACGAAGGCAGTGGCCAGGAAAAGGACGGAGATGCGGCGCGCGCAAAAGCAGGGGCGATGGAGGGAGTGGAAGGCGCCGACCATGAGAACGCCGTTTTTAGACTTTACAACGCAGAGAACGCTGCGGTCTCATTGGTGCCAATACTGGACCTCCACGCGACTCGTCCATTAGGAAATAGTATTTCAGCGGATACGGCAGCTGCGAATAGTTCGGTTGTGAGTAATCCCCCATCGTGGAACGTGCTGGATGAGGGACATGGGGTGCCGAAAGCCGGCAGTGCTGCCTTTTTTGAAGAAACCGTCCGGGAGTTGAGTACGGCGGGCAGTGAGAATGGCGTGGCGACTCTCCAGTTAGAACTGGCACGGGAGAAGAGGAAAAACATCTTTGTCGAACAGCGCCTTGTGTCGTTGGAAGAGGAGGTCAAGGTACTTCGGGCGGAGAACATGCGACTGGCGTCAATTACCACAGGGGATGCAGCTGCCACAAGGAGGGATTCTGCAGCGGGAATTCCGAGGGGGGAAGAATTGCTGCGGTACGATGTTCCGAGAGGTGGCCCGATGCACATGGAACAGTTGGTGACGGAACTGAAGGAGGAGCTGGATTTACTGAAGGAATACACACGAGAATTGGAGGAGCGTCTGGCGGAAAGATCCAATGCATTGGAGCGACGCAGCCGTGAAGTAGAACAAAAAGAAAGTCGCATCCGCCAGTTAGAGCGCATTATGGCGGACGAAATGATTCGACGCTCCAAATTGGAGTCCGCGGAGGAGAGTACGGGTGGCACCATCCACGCACCGACCACCGCCACCACTACCATTGCTCCTGCTGCCGACAAGCATCATGTCTACACTAGTAAAAGCAACACCGAGAAGGGAAATAATGAAGGCGGCGGTGGTAAAAATCACGAACCTAACGGTCGGGCACGTGAAAAACCGATTAGCAAAGTCGAGGCGCCCTCTGTGGTATATCGTGTCACACCCCTCACACGAGCACGCTCAGAAACGGAGCACCCTCCCGGGGCTGCCGGCTCGGAGCCCCTGGCGCAAAAAAATCGTGCATCAGTTCCTCAGGAAACAACGCCTGCCAGTCTCTCTCTGAAGCAAGAAAAGTCGTCGAAGTCGGATTTGTCTCTGTCGCCGCACAATCCGCGGAAAAGTGGACCTTCCGCGACGAAAAGCGGTAGCGCTCTCGAACACATCCATAGCCATGCTTTCCTTCAGAACGAAGAACAACAAAATCACCATCATTACCATCGTTCGGGTGTCTCCTCAGTGAATGCAACACCACGACGTGCCTCGTTAATCACTCGCAAGACGGGGGCGTCGGTCGCAATACCTTCCGTGAAGACAACTAGTCGGAGAGGAGGTAAGGAAATGTCAGCGCCATCATCTGCGCGCCAGGGTAGTGCCACACGAAGGAAATCGGTATCCAAAAATGTCAGCCGTGATCGACAGTCCACACCGAAGCGGAATAATACAAGTTCCATTTCAAATGCTCAGTATGCGGATGAGTCAACACAGAGGGATAGTAATCCGGCATTATTGCTAGCATCGCGGCGTAGTGTGAGTCGACCACCACCGCTTGAGAATTCCACCATTTCGACGTCGGTTATGAACTTAAATACAACAACTCTGCAGCACATGGATACACGATCCGTTGCGTCAACAGTTCGTTCTCGACCACGCATCATCCATGAAGACAGCGGCAACGTAGTGATTCAGGCAAGCACCACAACAGTTGTTACACGCAGTGCGAAAAAACGGGAGAATTTGATCCCGCAGCCGCAGCCGCGCGCTGATGCAGTTGAGCCTGTTCCATCGGATCATCCTTTTGTCTCCGAGAAGTTTTCCACAACTACGTACCGACCAAACCGGCTACTTCGGTATCACAAGGACGACTCGAACACGCGTTCTTTGACTCCTCCACCGCTGTAAGAAGGGATTTGGTGAGTGAGTGAAGGGAGAAGAAGAAGGAGGAGGAGGATGAGGGCGTGCCGACGGTGACGCTGCCATGCATATCACATAAGCGAAGAAGGAGAAGGGAGGGTGGACGAAGAAATAAAAGAACGAGCGGATGAGCGCAAAAAAAAAAAAAGAAAAAAAAAAGGACAAAAATAACAACCACGAAAGAAAGTAATTAAAGTTTTTTTTTTTCTTTTTTTGAAGTTGCATTCATCCATATAAATATATATAAACATGTATATTTAAACAAACCTTTTTTGGAGCAAGGGAGGAAAAAAAAAAAAAAAAAGAAAAAGAAAAACAACCAATTTTAAGCGTTCATTTGATGGAAATGGAATGAGATTATGAACGAGAACAAATAAATTAGAGCGTGTGGGAGTTGCTACGAGGCAACAGCAACGAAGCAACAGGTACGCCTTTTTGATTTGGCATGAAATGCGGAGGAGGGGGGCGAAGAGGCGAAGGGCGATGAGGGACAAAACAGGGAGTTGGGGTGATGTCTGTTTGCACAACGTCTCTTTTTTTTTTTTTTTTTTTGCGATTGGGCCCACGTTTTTCTTTTTGCTCTCATGTTTACTTACTTCACAACGCATCTTTTTTTATTATTGTCTCTTGTTTTTTCTTGCTTTCTTTTTCTATTCGGTGGCACGTTTTGTGCAGGTTTACGCACTTGTTTCTGAAAGGACTGAAAGGAAGGGGGTGGGGAGTCGGTGGAGGTGTGTGTGGGTGCAAGGCGGTTGAACGGGTGTTTTGGAGCCCACCGGTGATCTTCCGGGAGTGTTTGCCTCTTCTTTTTTTTTTTTCTATCCGCTTGGAACTGTCATTTATTTTTATTTCTTATTTCTTATTCTTTTGCAACGGGGAAAGAGAAGTGCAATAGGGGCGGTGCTGGCCGTCAATGGAGTACAATTGTGTGGTTGCCGGTGATGCCGCTGGCGGAGTGGATGGTTTAGTGTATTTGCTGGCTGATGCTCCACCTTCCCAGGTGCAAAGAGCCCAACAAAAACAAGAAGAAGAACAACAGCACCAGTTGTTATTGAAATCATTATTGTCGACACTTCCAGCAACAGGTTCTGTTCCGCCGCGACGGGTATTAGAACTGCCGCACCCCTCACTGCCGGAGTTAAAAATCCGCGTTGTTCTGCAGGCAGCGTATGCGCCATCCGACATGATGAGAGAAGAAGAGGCACCGACGGTGGTGGTGTTTGTATTCCTTATGTCTTCTGTGGATTTTATGCAGAGCATACAGGCGGAGTGGGCACCGAAGCTGGGGAAAATAAATCGCGCTCCAACTGTGATCCTTGTTGGGGTGACGCATGTTGATAAGAGCGGTGCCGCCATGAGAATTCAACCGGGTGAGATTGCACTTGTTGCGAAGGTGTTGCAAGCAAAGGCTTTTTTTTTGGTGGACGGGAGCAGCAGTGAGCCCAATATTTGTATCACTCAGATAACGGAAATTAGGGATGCAATTGCCCGTGCGTGCATTGGTGAGTTTTGTGAGCTGGGCCATGTAACGGAAGCGAATATTTATGAGCGTCAAAAGTACAGTTCTTTTGTTTCACCTTTACGTTCCCCTCTTGAGTCTTCTTCATTGCACAAAGTTTACGATTCATCCATTGCTTCGCCGATAAGTGGTCGGAGTGGCGGTCATGCAGCGGGGGCTCACGGTGCCGTCTGGGGATTTAAACGACATCCGCGAACGGGTCGTATTTTTTATGTGAATCGCATGACGAAAAAGTCGCAGTACAAGCGTCCACCGGGTTATGACGGTGAGGAGCCTGAGTTGACACTGGAGGAACGCGTGGAGGCGGAGCGCGAACGACAGGAGAAGCTGCAGCGGGAAGCTGATCTGCGGCGAGAGCACGAAGAAATTGCGCGATTCAACGCCAAGATGGAGGAAAACCAGCAGCGCGTGAAGGTTCTCCAGTCCGGTGTTCGGCAGCTGGAAACTGCGGTCGAGCGGCTGCGAATGCAGGCGGGGGCCTTGGCTTTTAAGCGCGAGAGCAATAAGGCGAGCCGCGAGCATGTGGCAACGTTGCGGGCAGAGGTGTCGGCGAAGGAACAGGGCTTCCTGCAGGAGTCTTTCCAACTCCACTCGAGGCATGAAGAGCAGATAGCATTAGTGCAACAGGCCTTGAAGGAAGCAGAGGAGGAGGGGGAGGAGGAAAAGGATGAAAAGGGAAGTGCAAGGCATGAGAACGAAGGGATGAATTACTCCGTCTTTGCTTCACCACGGCGATGTAAAACCATGCGAGCAATACACACGATACAAGCTGAGATGCAGTCCACCGTTGATAGCACTCGGGTGATCATTTCAGCGTTGCGTGGGCTACTCGAGAAGAGCGTCAAGCAACGCGAACGCAATGTCATTGTGCATGCGGAGTTGTCATCCGCTTTGAGGTTAACGGAGACACTCATGCAACGCACGTCGGCCGTCGAAGCGGAGGGACGACGCGTTCGTGCCGCGTTGATGACCGAACGGGCATCCATGGAGACTGAGGAAAACGTTCTCCAACCACTTTTGGCGGCGAAGGAGGCGAGGCTGCAAAGAGATCGAACGCGCCGTCAGTCGTCGGAGGTCGATGGGTTAAATGAGATGATGATGATGGATGAGGTACACCTACTGGAGGAGAAAATTGCGGCAGTAAAGGAGAGTTTAAGACCTCTGAAAGGGGCAACGTCGGTGGCGGACACCCATGAACTTGCGTATTTACATCGTACTCGCAACATACGGGCGTGCGTTACTGCGTTTTCTAAATGGGCCAACTATGTTTTTTTTATTTCTCGCCTGAAGCGAGGGCTTTATTTGCGCATGGAACGTTATGCCGATTTGGCGCGGTATCGTCAATTTTTGCTTGGCGGGCTACGTGAGCGGTACGTGCAGGAGCGTCTTTTTCTTTTGCATGATTGGTACGCTTTAGAGGCTGAAGGAAATCACAGTGGTGGTGGTGGCCATCGCGGTAGCAATCGCACCGACACCGCATCTCACATGCGTCTCGTTGAGGAACGGATGGACCAACTGGACACAGTTATTGACCGGCTGAAGACGCATGCGGCAATTATCGAACACAATACGAACATTCACGAAATTAAGCTGCAGCGATGCCGAGGCGTCTTGGAGAAGTTGCCTCTGTGCGAATTGGGTGACCCTTCCCCGCTTTCAGGTGATGCGGTGGTGACATGCTGGTTGCTTCTGGCGGAGCGGATACTTGAAGTTGTAGCGCGCCTTCAGTCTGTTGTTTTTTCAATGGAGGCACCAAGTGATACAGATGGTACTGGCGTGGATGCCATGGGAGTGATGGGTGAAGAAAAGGGTGCCATATACACGGAGCACATGAAGCTGCTTCGGCGGGAGTTGTGGCGTTCGTCTGGGCGAAGTCTTTTGCGTCATTTTCGTTTGGAGGAACTGCGTGAAACCGCAAGAAGGCTTTCCCGTCAACATGAATTGACGTTAAATGGCTGCGACAACAACAACAGTAGCAGAGTATCGAACGGCAATGCACCGAAACGAATAATGGCCAATTCGATGTCTGTGGCAGATGTCTCTGACTCTCACGGCAACGCTGACGAAGATGGTGTCATGCCGGAGAACAGTGACGAGTTATCACTTCTGCAGCCAGCGGTTGATTTAACGTCAGCATCGAAGGACACGATTTGGATGGAAAAGCTGCTGCTTTCTATTCTTGCACCGATAACGGGGGAGCGTAATTTCGATGTGGACGAGGCGGTGGTGATGACTGATAAAAGTGCAGCGGTTTGCTCTCCGGTGTCTTACAACGCACTTCGAGAACGACTGCAGAAGGCATACGCCTGAAAAGTGAGGCGCATAACAAAAGGACTTCTCTTTTTTTTTTTTTTTTTCTGAATTTTGCTTTTTATTTGTTTACTTGAGGAGTTTGCAGAGAAGGGTGTGGCTGTAAGACTACTACTACTAATACTTGAGAACCTTCTCATGCATTTGCACGAGGGTGTGGATGAAAAGAAAAATAATAATAAACAGAGAGTGGGGTGGTGTAATGGCTGACACAATATCCATTTACTTCCATCTGCGATATGCCTCTGGTTTCATTTATTTTTATTTTTATTTTTGATCTTTTTTTCCATCCTTCTTTTTATGTTTTGAGGGGAATCTACATCAGGTCATTTTTTTTTTTTTTTGTAACTTAAGTGAGGGGCCCTTAGGGTGGTGGTGGTGTAGTTGCCTGCGTGACCGGACGGGCACCGAAGCGCTGACAGGACGTGAGCCAAACGTGTCGATTCCGTCTGTCCTTTTTTGTATCCCTTTTTGTGTTTTTCCTTGAGCGTCCGTTACTTTATTGTTGTTTTTGTTGTTGTTGTTGTTGTTGTTCTTTGACTGCCTGACGGATGCGGGGGAAGAAACGGGAGTTTGTTGTTGAGGCCAATGCACCGGAACGTTATCCGAAGGAAGAAGAAGAAGAAATCCAACGGCCTTTGCAACGCATTGCCCATGTGGATACAAGTCTTCCTAGCAGTGCGTACGAGCAGCGTATTGTGGACCAGCTGCAGGGACTTCTGGATGCTAGTCAGGTAAACCTGCAGGAATCCGTCAAAATGGGGCGTATCGCCGCTGCGGCCCTCTTTTTTCATCAAGGCGCACCTGTCGCTATCACATTTGTCATGCTTATTATTTCTTGTGTGATAGACCCGTCCGCACAGACCATAACATGCACAGTGTTGTTTTCAGTCCTTTATGCATTCTGCATGGTGGTGCAGGTGTACCTACTGTGGGCGCGCATCACGGAGAAGAAAATGCGTACAGCCTATATTATGGGTGACGTGCTTGCGCGCTGGCGACGACGTATCATGGGGATGATGAAGATGCCACGACAGAGCCCACATGAACGGCGGGCTGCGTTTCTTGAATCTACTGCCATGTTGCCGGCAAAGGCATTTCGCATGGTGGCTGTTATCGACGTAGCCACTGGACGTTTGAAACATGTCCTTAAATCTCTCTTGATGCGGGGCACGAAACGCCTGGACGGGTCAAAGCTTCGTACATGGCCTTACACTGAGCCCGTTGGTCCTTGCAAGCTTGTGGACGTGATGGATATGACACTGAAATCGGATGCTATTGTGTTGCGGCCGTTGCAAGATAAGGGGCGGCCACCAAGGCGCCCAAATTCACAAATTCTTGAAAACAGCTTAGAGGAAGAGGAGGACAATACGACAGAGGATAGTGACCATGAACGGGACCCACGCATGGATACGAGTGATGCAAACACGAAATCTGTATCACAGAGGATGGAGTTTCTTGTTCACCGCATTTTCCTACTGGTATGGATGTTTGGCATGCTGCTTACTTTTGTTGCTGGATTTGTTTTTCATGCGTTGCTCGACGCTCCGATTGGCCAGAGAGTCTTTTTATACCCTTCCGTTGCACTGCTGGGCCTACTTCCGGTAAACGCCATCCTTTTGAACCGTGCACTTGTGCTTTACGCCAATGTATATCTGGAGCGGCTTTTTGGTCACTTGGTTTCAAGGCCTGTGAACGCCCTGGATGATCGCATCCCGCGTTTTTCGTTTGTTTCAACCTGGAAGGCACTCTGGCACGTTGTGCGTCAGCGCCCTGGTCGCCAACTGCTCTGCTTCTCCTCCTCCATTGTGGAGGTGCTTGGGATGGCGACTGTTGTTTCTTTGCTGGACGCCACCGGCGTGGTGACAGACATGGTCCCTCTTCCCGTGGTCATGCTGATGTGTAAGCCTGACGAGCACCCGGACGTGTCTTCGAGCTCGGAGGACGATGGTGGTAATACCGGCAGCGGAGGGCCACGTCCCGTTCACGACGATGACGTGGCGGCTGTGGCAGATTCCACAGCAAATGAGCGTAAAAGGGAACGGAAGAAACTTGCGGGACGTAAGAGGTTTCAGGACAGGCTGTTCTTTGAGTTGAGGCTGACTCCTAGTCAACGGGATGACCTTGCGGTGCAGTTTGCTGACGAGAAGGAGTCCAACGCGCGACAGATGAACATTTCACCTGTTGCACTCTGTTTGCTGTTGCACGCCCTTCTGCCAGAGCCGGAAAATCTGGAGACATGGACAGAGCAGTTTCGGTTTTGTGATCGGACGGTTCGATGGGCCCGCAGTACGCATTGGATTGCACGTGCCAGCGGTTTTATTGACAGTGTTGTCGACTCATTCCGTATTCTCGCACGTATTTTTCAAATCAACACCGAGACACGAACTGGCTATCGCAATGATTATCCCGAGCAGGCTAGTACATTGCTGGTGGCGGGCGAGGACGGCACTGTGCATGCATTTACTATGGGTTCTGCATATATGGTCGCCCACAACTGCAGCTTTTACTTTACCGGCGTTTCTATAGAAGAATTAGATCCAGAAGCACGTGATGAACTGGTGCACATTGGAAAGATGGTGTGGGAGGAATGCATGGGGCTTGAGACGGTGGCAGTGTCGCATCGGATTTTACCAGAACGATACCGTTCCGTGTTGGAGAATAATTTTAAATGGGATAGTGATGGGTACAGCGAGTATTTTTTTTCTAACGGCGTGCAGGTGAGGGCGACGGAAACGAAAAACGACCTGGAAATGGAGGGATTCAATGGTGGTGTGCAGCCAACTTCACCACAAGCGAAAGAAGAAACGCGACGACAATTAGAAGACGCCGAAGAATTGCCAATATTAAAATCAGATCAGCCAAACCAGGAGGATGAGGACGTTTTAAACACCGGGCTTGGTTCTACAGCGGTGCAGGCCACTCATGGCAACCCCTCGCTGAATTTGGCGGATGAGGGTAAAAAGCCCTCTGTGGAAGACGATGATGACACCCCTGCGTCAATGGATAGTCTCCTCGATCTTCTCGTGGGCGACTTGTATGTATTTCTCGCTCTTGTTGGCTTGCGTGACTCTATTCGTCCCAATGTGGAAAGTGCAATGACTCTCTTAGACGAGGCTGGAATTCGCTGCATGTATTTTTGCGCCGAAAACGAGCGACGTACGAAGAGTCTTGGCAATCGACTTGGGCTCGAGACGGACTGGAACTGTTGCATCTCCCTTAAGAAGGGTGCTGTGGAACTTGACCATCATAGCATTCGTGCACAGCTGCCGGTTGGGATTGACGCCATCCGGAAGCATATTTTACACGTGGACCCTATTCCACTGCAGGTGAAGATGTTTTCACATGCTCATAGTGTTTCCACACGTGCGATGCTTTCAATTCTTCAGGACAATCACGAGGTGGTTGTTTCCATCGGTTCCACCTTTAACCACGGGAACGTGCGCAGCTTCATTCAGTCTGATCTATCCATTGGCGTGTTACCGACTCGACGCGGCCCTGTGGCGGAGAAGGAGGAGGTGTGTTTACGCCGTCACGGTCGTATTGTGGAGCCTTCCGAATTTAACGCGAAAAAATCATTTAATCGGGACTTGCCGCTTTATCAAAATGTGACGGAGCTTCTTTCTTGCTCCTGCAATTTATCGGCCTCACCCACGCCGTCTATTTTGCCTATTGTCACAACACTTATTCGTCAAGCACGACTTCGTCTCAGTGGAATTGGAAACTGCGTGGAGTTTACCCTTCATGCCAACTTCTTCGTTACGCTTGTGAATGTTTTTGCCCTAATGACAGGGTTACCGCTGCTTATTAGTCCTACCGCTACCGTGTTTGAGCTCAACGTTATTATTCCCATCCTTGCATTGTCATGTACGTATACCGCATATGCGGATGTAGATCCTATGAAGACTATTTCTTCACGACATAATTATTTTGTACGACTTGCCATCTTTCGTCACAGCGTGTTGGTGTGGTGCTTACGCTACGTTCCTTCTCTTGTTGCATTGCTGGTTCTTGGTATCACCTGCGGCAAACATCTTTGCCAAACGAGTGTAGAGGAATTGGCATTGTCGGCATCTGACTTCTGTATGACCTCAACCCGGGGTTATATCGCGCTGACGATGAATTATTGGCTAATAATTCATAGTTGGACGCACATCAGTCGTCATTACCCACTTGCCCCAAATCTCTCCTTTAAGACGCGCTACGGCAAGCGATCGAGTTATCTTTTTAAGTCCTTTCGTTTGGTCTCCGCGTGCGTTTTGACAAGCGCGCTGAGCATTCTTTTTGTGGTTATAAACACCCTAAGCGATGGGGTCACTGTGCGTGCTTTTTATCCTTCGCTGGTACATTTCTTGACCTCACTCCTTTTCCCTGTGTTGCTGCTTCTGTTGGATGTGCCCATTAAAGCATGGCGCTTACGGCGCTTCACTTTGATGCAGAAGTTTCGTCGTTTGTCGTTTGGCACACGTTTGGGGATGCACTCACCGCGAGGCGACTACGAGCCGGAGGGGGTGACGTACACGAGTACATCCGAGGAATTGGAGCGGCATGAGGATCGCGTTCCGGCGCTGAAGCAACGTCTGCACGACGTCTTTTACCGTTTCACCACGATGAGGCGAGGGAAAATTGAGCTTAATTGCGTCTGCTGCGATCATATTGGTGGGAACTATGCGACATATCACATTCACGGGAACGACATGTGAGGTGTGGGGCCGGAGATATTTCAAGGACCCACAAGGAGTTGTAGGCGAAGGGAGGGATGGAGAGAGCAGGAGAGGTTGTGTGTGTGTGTGTGTGTGGCCAAGATCGTTAGCATTCATTTAACTGTTTTTTTTTTTTTTTCAACGGTTTTTCAAAGGGCCATGTGGCGGTGACCGTTCGCTGCTGAATCGACGGCGTGTGATGTCACGAGTTGCACTTAATGGAGCCCACGGGTCGGTACTCTAAACAAAAGAATTATGGACGCAAAGCGAGGAAGAAAAAAGGCAAATCTAAAAAAAAGAAAAAATAAAAAAAGAAGAAAAGAAGAGAAGGAAGGTGAAGAATAAAGCAGAATGGCAGTGTTTTGAACATTTTGCTGTGTGGTTTTTCGGCGGCGGTAGAAGTGCATGGGGAGGGGAAATGTACTCTTTATTTATTTATTTATTTATTTTTTTTTTATATGCTTCTTTTGAGGTATTTATTGTCTTCCAAACCTAATTGCGGGTTTCTCTTTTTTTTTTTTTTTTTTTTTGCGCCATACCGAGTGAAGGCGATGTCTGTGAGTCTGAGTGTGTGAGTCTGAGTGTGTGAGTGTGAAGTGGAGCGGGGGGGAGGAGGTCTGGCACGTCGTATTTGCTCAACAACAACAACAACAACAAGCACAGTGAGTATTGGTGGGGAGTTCACACAAGAGAGGCCAACGCAGTCATGGTGACACGCTTTTGAGAGGAGCAGAAGACCTGGGAGAGTTGTCGTTGGCGGGGCGGTATTTTGTAAATACAGCCGCTAAGGGGATTATTATGATGTTTGCTTATATATATCTGCATTTTCTTTGTTTTTTTGCCGTGCGCAAATATACTCGAGGAGCGGAGGAAATTGCAGCGGCTTTTGACGTCGCCCAACGACAGACAAGTAAAATTTTCACTTATTGGGTTTGTTGAGCCGCAACGGAGAGGGGCACTTTGCCAGTGTAAGGCACATGCCCTTCAGGCCCATATGTGTGTGGTTTGAGCAATGAAGCAATGAAAGCGGGGATATGAAATGTGGCGACGTAACTCTCTGGGGGGAAAAGAGGCATCTTACATCTTCACCACTTCTTGACTTTGACGCTTATTCTGCCGTGCTACTACGGTGCATTGGTGTGTTTGTTGGTGGAATGTGGTCCTTTAGGAATCTGGGTGGCACCCCCCACTGAATGCGCTGTCGTCGCCGCCATTGAACGCGTTGTGCCTGGCGGAAAGGTAATCGTTGTGGCTGTTTGAACACAGCACGAGGCGTGGTCTCAAGGGGAAAAACTGCTCCCCATGCCTTCTCGGATGGCACTGCCATCGCAAGAAGTTTCTCTCAGAGAAAAAGAAGCAAAAACAAATCACAACGAAAAAGACGGGGGATGATACAGGGAATGATGATGCGGATGATAATGACGATGACATGGAGGGTGCTTGCCGCCGTGGTGGTTGCCGTTGCCGTTCTCATCCACTAGGGGGCGGGTAAGGGCTTCATCGTAGACACCGCCACCACCATTTTTTTACCGTGGCAGTGCACCCTAGTTGTGTGGCGGGTAATGGAGCAGTCATGCGGAGGACGTTAGTGGCGCGAAGCAGAGGCGGTGTTGGGGGAACACGAGCAGATTCCTAGCCCATGGTGGCGGGGAGGGAAACAAACACTGTCAGTGTTATCCACCAGGAAGACTGAACATACACACACGAATTCTGCCGTCGTTAGCGTCATTGGACTTTGTTGAGCTATCATTGGGGAGAGGATGCATCACTTTTTTTTTTTTACTTTCTTATTGGATTGTATATGGTTGCGAGAGATGTCATTTATAGCCATTTACGGCTAGCGTCTTGTTTCTTGTGGCGATTGAAGGGCCCGTCGTTTCTGAAATTTAAATGTGGAACTTGTCTTGTATGCACTTTGACGGCCTTTGGGAGGTGAAGGGGGGCGATGATGTTTGCATATAGCGTACTTTTTAAAAAACTGCAATGCCCCCTTTTTTTTTTCCTGTTTGTGTGCGTGACGCTGGGGAAGGATGGACGGTTAATTCTTGTGATTTACTGCACTCTTTTCATTTTTTATTTTTTATTTTTTTTTCTTTGTTTCTTGTGGCTTCCATTTTATGTGGCCGCGCAACAACAACAATGATTCCAACGAATGCAAGATTACGGTAGTTGAGAGTTATTGTCAACGGCATTCATCTGCAAAACGCAATGCAGCAGAGCATTCCTGAACTGCTGCTTCTGCTGCCGACTGTTGTTATTGACGAGAGGTACGTGCAGGATGGCCGTGTTACAATGTCCATGGAGGATGCTTCTACTATCGCTAACGCATATTTCCAGATTGTGGAGGATTATTTGCAGCAAAGAGAATTACACAGGGGACAGTTGGAACTTGAAAAAGAAGTCATTCCGGCGATTGAGTTTGCACTGCGACTCTTCAATGCTGAAAACTTCAGTGGTGAGTTGGTACCGACGGAGCGGGAGCGGTTGGCTTCTGTGCTGCAGCGCTTCACTATGGCTGATGTGCCTCATGAGCGGTGTGTGCAGCGACTGCTTGTGAGTGATGGTGAGATGCCACACCCGTGTCTTCGACTGGGTGGCCTTCTGTTGTGTGTCTTGGCCGTTGTCTGTAGCAAAGTGCGGGGTACGAAGCAGCCGCTTGTGCCATATTATTCCGTATGGCGTCTACGAGTTCATATGCGTCACCAACTTGTGTTGCAGCATCGTGCACATTCTTTGTTTCTTCACCTTTCCGCTTGTGTGGATGCTGCGCTGGCTCTTCCGGATGAGGATCTCAGTGTTGAACATCTCCTCGAGGTGGGCCATGTGCATAATTATTATCACCGACGCGATATTGCTGCAGAAACGTTCTGGCGGGCTGTCCGAAAAAGTGGACTCTCCGTCTCTGAGAGTGCCATGATGGGCGTGCGTACACGGTGGCAGGAACATCAGCTTGTGCAGATGGTTATGAATGCGCAGAGTGCGTTGCCATTTACGCCGCAATTAGTGACGGATGCGCCGCGGGTTGTTATGGGCGAAAAGGATGGCCATGATCTGCTTGATCGCCCGCGCGAGACCCCAGAGAGTCCAGCACCCCCACTGCAATCACTGCATCCTGTCGACAAGGCAATCATCCTTGCTCTCTGCCTCGACATCCGTAACGCCAATCCGTATCATGGGCTAACGCAGCATCACATGCAAACATATGTGGAACGACTACTTGTCGACCCCGCACCCGCACCATTTATGATTCAGTCTCAAATGCTTCTTATACGCAGTCGGCTAGAACGTCGACGCAATCGGGTGCAGGAAAGAGCCTTTATGCAGATTACAGAGTTGGTGGACCAATTTTCCGCAGCACGCGATCCCACACGCGAGACGTTTCACCGCACAGAAAGTGACTACTTTTATAGTGTGGCATATCCATCTATTTGGCATTTAAAGAGTGAATACGCGGATTTCTGCTACGAGGAGAAACTCTTTAAAACAGCCCTTGATGCCTATGAACAGGTGTTGGATTGGGAGAATATCATTAAGTGCTGCAAAGCGCTGGACAAGCGAAAACGAGCGGAATCTCTTGCACGCGATCTTCTGGAAACCGACCCATGCAATCCTTTTTTATGGGTGGCGCTTGGAGAGGCAACACGCGATGTGTCACATCTCTGGAAGGCTTGGGATTTGTCTAATCACCGATCCGCAGCCCCTATGCGTGCCTTGGCGAAGCTGGCACTCGAGCGAGAGGAGTATAGCAAAGTGGTGGAGCACTTTGATGAGGCCGTGCGGTTGAATCCTGTGTTTGGCGGCGACTGGTTTTCTCTCGGGTACGCGGCAATGCGGCTTGAACAGTGGGGTCGCAGTGGGGAAGCCTTTACGCGTGTTTGTCAAATTCAACCAAATGATGCGTACGCGTGGAATAATCTTGCGTCGGTGCTTCTGCGTGATGGGAGACTTCGGCCTGCGTTTAATGCCATGAGCCAGGCGTTGCGCAATAATCGCCGTGACTGGCGCATGTGGCAGAATTATTTCTCTATTGGCTGTGAGCTGAAGGAGGTAACCGAGACAACAAATGCGTTGAATGTTTTACTGGAAATAGCGAAAAGAAACACACAATTGGAACGGGAATCGCTTCACCGCTTTGTGGATAATGCCATTGCGTACATGGAGGGCCGTATTCCTGCCAGCTCCAAGGATCAAATGGAGGGGGTGGAAGAGTCGCATTTGCTCGCCGCTTTCATGGAGGATGAAGAAGAGCAAAACATGTGTGATATCATTCCCATTGCTAGTGATGTCGAGATGCCCGAGGCATTTTTGGAGTCTGGCAGGAGGGCGGCCTCCGTGAAGGAGGCGGAGGGGGTGCGGGAAGGTATCGTGGAGCGGTACAAGCAACGCATGCGGGAGACGTTTAAGCGAATCACCGATCTTTTTGTGACAGACCCGGACATTTACGCCTGTGGAGCGAAGTTACTTCGTTACATGGATGGCCCCTTGAGGGCGTACGAGATGCGATTGAAGGAGTTGCGCTGCTGCCAGCAGAAGGACCAATGGGAGCGGGATGAGGCTCGTTTTGCCCGCACCTGTGAGTGTCTTCGTGACATGACAACCGACGTGCTTGCCGCACTTGACGACGGGATTGCAGCTTCTAACACTTTGGGTGGCAGGAATGATGTGCAGGAGGCCGTGATTTCGGCGTTGGACGACACGCGGAACAACACGACGGCCGTCATTGAGGCGGCGCAAGATTACATGGGTGACGCCGCAGACTACGCCCAGCTGCGATCGGTGCTGCTACCGCAACTACGAGGGGGCTTGCAGAAGGCAAAATCGGCGTTTAATTCGGACTAAAACCTGAGAGGGAAAAGGGGGAAAAGGAGCAGGGAGTTTTTGAGAATGAAGAAAACGAAGGCTTCAAAGGGACGATGAAGGGAGAGGCGTGAATGGACCTTTTATAAATTATTATTATTATTTTCTTTCTGTTTTTTCCATTCTGTAATTTGTCTTTTTTTGTGATTTGTCCCTCCCACCACTTTTTGTTGCCGGTAACGGGTGGCACACAATGCGGCTTCTCTTTTTTTTTTTTTTTTTTTCACCCCTCCTCCTCGCTTGTTTTTTTTACTTATTGCAGACGGGGTTCATATCGTACACGTTGCGTCTTGTGGCGAGTGGGAGGTTCTGTTCCGCAGCACAAACACATAACTTCTCTTTTGTGTTCTCACAATCACGGCGCCACGAGAATAATGGATGGTGGCAACGGCAAAGACTGTAACCAACCGGATGTGGCCGTTGCGTCATCCGCATTTGGCGACGCACTGCACCCCGTCGAGCTGCGTCATTGCGTTTCTCTGAATAAGTATTCCCGGATGCCGGCCGATGAAATTTGCGAGGAGGAAGCTGTACGGAGCGAAGTGGCGGTGCAGCTTGCGGAGAAAGTTGTTGTCCTTCGCCGCAAGCTGCAGCGGCGTGAGGCCGAGATACAGACACTGAAGTCAGGCATAGGGACGGACACGAGCGCTGCAACGCACACTACTGCCGCCGCCACTTCCACGACTGTTGCTGATGGTTCGACTGTTGAGTCATGCAACGACGTCTGTGCCGCGTCGTCCGTGACGAGGGAGAGTTCTGCTGCGGAGCAGACGGTAGATTGTAACAGCCAAGGCAACAGTGTCGAGTGGCAAGAGAAGCTAGCGGAGATGGAGGCCCAGAGTGTACTGTGGAGGCAACGCGTAAAGGAGGCGCTGCGAACGAGTCAAAAAAGGGAACAGGCCCTTCTTGCAGAGAACATTGCGCTCCAGAAAAGACTGCAGGAGTTGCAGGGGAGACTGAATGAAGCCGTGTTTTGTATTGAGGCCAGCGCCTTGAAGAATGCCCGGCAGACGACGAAGGTGAATCGCTGTTGTCAAACGAATGAATCATCAGAAGATGCGGAATCTGGGGACGAATCATACGCCGATGACGCCACAGGGATGTCAAACATCAGCAGCAACCCTCGTCCTTCGCGACGACGGCGGCGACAATCTGTTCAGATTTCTGCTCTGCGTACGCCTTTGCATGTTGTGGCATCCTCAGAGAATTTAGCAAAAACGGCGAGAGCCACACCTGTTATGACGCCAACGCAGACTGAAATCTCCGATAGCAGCAGCAAAAGCCCCTCTCGATTTCCGTACCCGCCACAACCACTTGTGCCGATGCGGCGTGGGAACCCAAATACCGACGGAGGCAGTAATATGGGCAGCCCGAATTATCCCGTGGAGATTTGTTCGTCTGACCCGACAATTCAAGCACAGACCCCGCCATTCATCGTTGCTGTTCACTACAACAATTCGGATGGGTGGAGTGTCCAGACGAAGCTGTGCGTCAAGCCCGGCATGACAGTGGCCCAACTGAAGGAGCATTGCTGTTCACAGTTTTATGATCGTTACCAAATGCGGCTGGATGACAGCACGTTGTGTGTTCGCTACTATCATGAGAAGGCGCGGCGGCATGTGGTTTTGTCCTCATACCGTGAGCTGCACTCTTTTGCTTGTTTTCAGCGATGTGAGCGTGAGAATATTCCAATCACTCTGCAACTTACCAGGGAGGACAACTTATCAAAGTTTGTGCACGACACGATGAATGTTACGAACATGTCAAGAGTGAATTTTTCTCAGGATCGTGCGGACTGATCTTTTCTACTTTGCGCTTTATTGGTGTTTTCGCGATTTTTGCAGTTTTATCGACTTCTCAATGCCTTTAGATCAAAAAGCATGACTTTGTGTGGGCGCGTTTATATGCCGAGGAATGTTAAAATTGTTTGTTACTTGTCGATTGTTTTTTTGTTGTTGTTGTTGTACGAATTCATTGCCGCGAGATTTGTTGCCGTGTGGGCGTGTAGACCCTTCACTCTCTTTTTGAGTGCGTTCTGCATTTGTGGGCCTTTTTTTTTCTTTTTCTTATTTCTTCTATTTTGCTCGTTGCTTTTATTTTTTTTGTTGGCTTTGTTGCCGCCAAAGCAAAACAACAACAACAACAACAAAACTGCATCCCTGCCACGCGGTGTGTGGGGGGCGAAGCAACAACAATAAAGGAGGAAGAAGGAACAAACATAAAAAACAAACAAACAAACAAACAAACAAAAAAAAAGGTGTTGGGGATTGGCGGAAGTGGCTGGACACGCAATAAAGGCGGAGAAGACATCCCACAGAAGTAATCAAGAAGAGCAGGAAATAAACAGGCAGACGTGAATAACGGAAGGAAACTGAGAGTTGGGAGCGTTGGAGATTTGTTATTTTCAGTATGCCCTCCCCTGCCTCTGTTGCATCGACAACCCGCAGCAGCGCCACTGGGGGTGTGACGATTAAGCGGAAGGTGGACGATCGGGTTCGCCACATTATTGAGAATGCAGTACATAAGAAACATCGTGCGTTGCTTCTTCTCGTTGGTGACCGCGGGAAGGACCAGATTGTCAATCTGCACCAGATGGTCTCTCATGCCAACCATAGTGCCAAGGTGAGTGTGCTGTGGTGCATGAAAAAGGAACCGGATTTTGGTTCGACAAGCAGCAAAAAACAAGAGAAGCGTGCGCGTCTTGAGGTGAAGGGTGGCATGTCAACTGAAGCAACGAAGGAGGCCTTTCAGACATTTCTTTCTCAAACATCAATTCGTTTCTGCCAATACAAGGAGACTCACAAGATCCTTGGTCAGACGTTTGGAATGGCTGTGCTGCAGGACTTTGAGGCGATCACACCCAACACACTTGCGCGTACCATTGAAACAGTGAAGGGTGGTGGAATTATTGTCATCATGTTCCGTGCGATGCGTTCGCTAAAGCAGCTCTACACCATCGCAATGGATGTTCATGCAAGATATCGTACCGAAGCATTGCGCGATGTGGTGCCGCGGTTCAATGAAAGATTTCTTCTTTCTCTTGTGGATTGTGAGACGGCGCTTTGCGTCGATGACGATTTAAACGTTCTCCCCATCACCACAAAGATGCAGTCGATAGAGAATGCACGCGCCACCAGCTACGAGGCGGAATTGGTGCTACAAGGCCATCAGAAACACGAGGCGGATTTAATTGCTTTAAAAGATCGACTTTCAGGGAGCAATGAAGTGGGGCCACTTGTGGCAATTTGCCAAACACTTGACCAGGGCAAAACGGTCCTCTCGCTCATGCAAACTGTTGTGGAGAAGTCTCTTAACACAACTTGTGTCGTCACGGCGGGTCGTGGACGCGGCAAATCCGCAGCACTCGGTCTCGCCGCAGCTGGTGCGCTGGCCCAGGGGTACAGCAACATCTTTTGTACGGCACCATCTCCAGAAAACTTGCAAACATTTTTTGAGTTTGTGATACGAGGACTGAAGGAGTTGGGGTACACGGAGCGCACGGAATTTGAGGCCATGCAGAGCACTAATATAGAATTTAGCAAGTGCATCGTGCGCATTAATCTCTTTCGTGAGCACCGTCAAACGGTGCAGTATATCTCTCCTCACGATGCCTCAAAATTTGCACAGGCGGAGTTGGCTATCATCGATGAAGCAGCCGCAATTCCGTTGCCTGTTGTGAAGCAAATGTTGGGTCCTTACCTGGTCTTTCTTTCATCGACGGTCTCTGGCTACGAGGGTACAGGGAGAAGCTTATCCATGAAACTTGTTGCAGATATGCGTAAACATTGTGGAAGCGATGCGGGCGTTGCTGCTGCTGCGGGAAATTCGGATGACAGGCGTTTTCTCCGTGAGATTGCGTTGACGGATGCCATTCGTTACGGCCCCAATGATCCAGTCGAGCTGTGGCTGCACAAACTACTGTGCCTTGACACCACCGTACGGCCCACAAGTGTGAAGACGTGCCCACATCCCAGCAAGTGTGAGCTGTACTATGTCAATCGTGATGCCCTGTTCTCATACCACCCATTTGCGGAACAATTACTTCAGACGATTGTGTCACTGTTGGTTGCGGCTCACTACAAAAATCAGCCCAATGACTTGCAGCTTATGTCGGATGCCCCTGGCCACCACTTGTTTCTTCTTTGTCCTGTGAGTGTGGATGCGAAGGGTGGTCTTCCGGATGTTTTTTGCGTCATTCATGCTTGTGAAGAGGGGCAAGTAACATCTGAAGCGATTAAGAGTAATCTTAGCCGTGGTGTACGCCCCGCGGGTGATCTCATTCCGTATACATTGTCACAGTGCTACCTTGAAGAAGGATTTGCCAAACTTGCAGGACTTCGAATTGTGCGTATTGCCACCAATCCAGAATTGCAGCGTGCGGGATACGGTTCTCGCGCTCTGACGCTGCTCTACGAATATTACAGTGGCTCTATTTCTCTTCGCCCCGCTCCGGCGTTGTCTTCCCCTTCTTTGGCGCAGGGCGTTAATGATGGGGCCGGTGCCTTGGAGGATGATGCCAGCAGCACCATTATTCTTCCGCGGAAACGTATTCCTACACTTCTTACCCCACTGATTGATCGTCCATATGAGGTTATTGATTATCTTGGTGTGAGCTTTGGTGTGACGACTGCGTTATTTAATTTTTGGAGGCGCGCGGGTTATGAACCTTTATATCTTCGCCATGCTGCGAATGAACTTACGGGTGAACACAGCTGTGTGATGGTGCGTCCTATTGGTTTGGATCTTGCACTTTTGCGAGCGGAGTTTCGTCGGCGGTTTATTCCACTTCTCGCAATGCCGTTTCGCCAGATTTCAACGGAGTTGGCGCTGAGCATTTTGAAGGACATTGACGTCAATGATCCTCAAAAGCTGGCAGCTGCCACGGATCTTTCCCAGGCCTCGGCACATGTTGTTTGTGTGGGTGGTCAAGTGCAGTGCACATGGCCAGATCTGGAGAAGATCTTTAGCGGCAATGACATGAA